TGCTGTTCAGCCAATCCTAATTGTAAGTTACTCACCAATGTGCTGAGGGTGGTATGACTGGTCATGCTCCTTTCTCTTCTGTTCCTATGTATCTGAGGTGGAGGTAACCTATTAGTGCATCTAATCTGTCTTCACAATTATGCAGGATTGTTCCCTGCAATACATTCTCATATGATTCATAGTTAAGTGACTCAAGCAATGGGGCTTTCACCATATCCCTTGGGAGACTGTTGAACAAACTCCTTGACCCCTCTAATTCATCTTGAAGTAAATTAACCCTGTACATACCAGCTGGTCCTGTGTGGCTCCTGTAATTTGTTCAAATGACCACTTGAGTCAACTATTCATAACATGCATTTTCCAATTCTCTGTCCCCCCGTGCATGATCTACTCCTAACAAATGCCTTTGTATCTAATATATCTGGGAGCAAAGGGAATGGGAAATAAATGACAAGAGGAAGGAGATGAAAAAAGGTTAATGGCTGACTTTAAGACAATTAAAATTTTACACCTAAAGGATATAAGAGGCAAAGACTGAAGGCTTTTGAATCTAAGTGGTAGCAAGGCAGGTTCAAGAAGAGAGAGGCGGTGTGCTGCAACACGTTTATTTTCAAAGCAAATGGAAGGAATGGCTTGTCTCTTCTCTAAATACTGTAACAAACAGAATTTGTCACTGCTACAGCTGAAGGTAAGATCATTTTGAAAAAAAACTGGACTAGAACATACAAAATTCTAACCAAACTGCCTAGTAAAGTCTTTTTGGATGTTGTCACGCATTACTCACACACTCCTGCCAAAAGAACTGTTAGAACAAAATAAGCTTGCTTTTATTTCTACCACCAATTGTATTAGCATTACTGTCAACTTAAAACATTTACCTGTGTTATTAATACCATCTTAGATTATTAGAAGTTTTTTGTCATTACTTATTCTCTGTTTGCTTTCTGCATCCCTTGGGTAATAGTCAGCTTCACTAACAGGTGGTTAGTACAGCAATGTTTGGGTTTCAGGGGTTTGCTAACAGGTTTTAAAAACAGCTATTTTAATTAAATTTTTTAAAATTTTAGAAACATTTCTAGCGGTTCTTGTAAAAAACTGTTAGCTGGTTTGCTTTTAATAAAGACCTAGGGTAACATTTTTAAAAGCCCCTAAGCGACTTAAGAGCCTAAACCCTATAGACCTTCATAAAATAGATGTGCCTAAGTTACTCCTGAAAATGAGACTTAGGCTCCTTACCTCTAGTACATAATTGGGGTTTTTTGTTTGTTTGGGTTTTTTTTTTACAACACACCAAGTAGCAGAAGTCCTTTTGTTCTCCCACAATATGCCTGTGTGCAAGTTCCCCTCAGCAAAGCCACAGACTGTATCAAATTGGCGTTAGACAAGTAGAGTTTTCTGCTGACTACCTCAGTTTCACTTTTTCCTTCTAGCTCCCACTGCTGCAAAAGTTCACATGCACAATCATCAGTCACATACTTAAGCATATACAAAACAAGGACTCTTGAGAGAAAGTCAGAGGCCCAACTCTCCGCTGCCTTGCACTGTGTCATCATTTAGATCAGTGCCAAATGGGCAGTAAACACAACTGATCAGGAAGTGTTCACATCCCCTTTGCACTGATGTGAAGAAATGCACAAAGCACAAGACAATGCAGAAGGAAGGTCACCATTTAATTTTCTTACAGTTAACATAAATGAAGAATGATTCTTCATTCTGACACTCTTTGGAAAGGTACAAGCACACACACACACTGGAATGCCAAAATATGATCCGACGTTCAGAATAACCATAAGCCCACATATGATTTATCAATATACCCTGTCAAACGACAGGCTCTCAGCTAGTAAGATAGAGTGAACCATTATGAAGTCATAGCTCACTATACTAACAACAACAGATGGTATTAAGATTGCTTTAGTGACATATTCCATGCTCAGTTGCTCAAAAAACAGGTTTTTCACAAGAGTTGTAAAACCAGTTTCCATCTCTCTATTTTAGAAGACTAGTTTTCTGTTTATACCGTATTTAAATTGAGTGTTTTAAATTTCTTAGACTTTCAACTGCTCCTCCTTTGTCTTTGGGAATGAGCAAGGCTGACTTTCAACTGGACTTTATTTGCTCCCAGGTGGTTGTTATTAATTTTTAACAAGAGAAAGTTAGAAGGCAATATGAGGGCCATGAAAGTTGCAGTTACACATGAGAAAAGAATCTCTATAAAGAGCAGATCTGCTAGCGTGGTCATAAGACTCAGGCCATGTCTATACTGCCCTGCAGTTTGGGCCACTGGGGTGTGAACAGCAGTGCACACCAAAGAGCTACGCTGTACCTCCCCTGCGTGGACACCACGGCGAGAACTTAAGTTCCTATTTCTCATTAATGTGACCCTGTTTGAAGAGGGTTAATGCAAATTAAGGACCTTTTGGTTTGTTCCTGCAGCATCCATACAGGGAACTTTTAGCACAGGACTTTGGTGCACGCTGCTATTCACACCCCAGTAGCCCAAACTACAGGGCAGTGCAGACATGCCCTTACTTCCACTATTCATGAGTGAGACAATCAACATGATTCACAGAAGCCTACACCAGTGCCAGTGGGTGGGGTCTGGATCAGACTGGGAAAAGCCAAGTAGCGTAGCTAGGAATCTTTCAGACTCCTGGCTCCAAACTGGTCCCAAATGTCTCTCTCTTCCCTTTTAATAAAAAAAAAAAAAAAAAAGACATTTTACCTAGCAATTTTTCTACTAGCCCCCATCTCCATAAACTCCAACTTCCCCCCAAACCCCTGCCCACCTACAGAAGCGGGATATGTTCACTATAAATCAATTACACAGTTTAATCCCTCCTCAGTATTTTTGCTGGAAGTTCGGTCCTCAGCTCAGAAACCTGGCCAGCTGGTAAGGCAAATTTTCTTCTTTGATTAACCATTCCACTATAACCAGGTGAATTAAAACACACTAGAGATGCTGAAAACACCAGCTTGGGAAATATTAGGTATAAATCTATGCTTAGGCATACAATCTTCTCATATGAGATAGCAGTGCCAACTCGTTCAAGTTGAGGAAGCACTCCAATCTTTCCCCCATGTTACTTGCAAGGCAGCATACTGAAAGTACCCCCAAGGGTCACCTCAGAAGTTAATGAGCATCCAGAATTCCCTAATATTCTGCATCATTTCACCCTGGCAAGTTTTCCCTCTAGCCTAATTCAACTGTGCTCATCAAATGCCCACAAAGAGTACTAATAAAACTGCCTGGAATTATAAGCTACCCAAGCAATGATTGGATAATGAATTACATACAGCTGGCGGGTGCAACTTTATTGACAGGACAGTTGTCTCAGTTGTAATATACACGCCAAAGTCATCTTTGTAGTTCTCTATCATATCAGCAGTGAAATAATCCTCTCATACCCTCTTGACACCCAGATACTATAGCAATTACTGCCCTGGCCCTTCAGTATTATTGTTTACGTTGCAGTAACACCTAGAAACACAAAACAGGATAGTGGCCCCACCGTGTTACGTACTGTAACAAACAGTCCTTGCCCCCCAAAGAGCTTACAGACAAGATAAAGGGTGGGAGAAAAAAATATCTTATCTCCATTTACAGGTGGGGAACAGAGGCAGCACAGAGAGATGAAGCAATTTGCCGGAGGTCACACAGGGAGTCAGTGGCAGAGCCTGCAACTGACTCCAGAGTCCCTGCTGAATCCCTCAGACAGAAGGCTACCCGTTCTCATAGGGCAGAGGTACCTGAAAAGGATACCCACGGTGAAACCCATTGATAGCGAGAACTCCCATTGATAAGGAAATGGCATTCAAGTCCCGTTTCCAGCATGCAAACTGCAACCCCGATTAGAGCAGGGGTGGCCAAACTGCAGCTTGCGAGCCACGCAGGGCTCTTTTACAGTTGAAGGGTGTCTCAGGTGTCCCCCCATTCTCCACCTACCAGATGGGGGGAGGAGGGGGTGGGGACAGACAACTCATGGCTTCTGCCCTGCAGCAGGATGGTGGGGCTAGGGGCTTCGCCCAGTGGGGAAAGGGGTCTCCAGGCTTCAGCCCCAGGGGAGGTGCCTACTGAGGCTGAGGGCTTCAGCCCCGCTCTTGCTGAAGACCCGAGCCCCGGCAGGCACCTCCCCAGCCACACCACCCTGCCGCAGGGCAGAAGCCCCCAGCACTGGAGGTTGCATCCAGCTCTCGAACTTCTGAAGATTATCATATGGGGCTCGGAGGATCAGTACATTTGGCCACTCCTGGATTATAGGGTGCTTGGAGGGCTAACCAGAGAAGGTGATCTCAGTGCAAACCATTTCCAGTTCCAGGAGATGTTCGGCCCGCCCTGTTATGGAGGCTCACTGTACAAATCCGAGACAATCTGCTTCAGAGGCAAGTTCCCTAACGGCAGCGCCGCCAGAAAAGTCTACAAGTGGCCTGCGGACCAGCCACTTGGAGGAACTCCGGGATCCCACCCAGCACCTTTGAGGCAACGCAGAAGCCCTCTGGGACCGCCCGGTGCGGCAGGGATCCTGTTCCCAGCCTCCGGCCAGGGCCAGGTCCATGGCCAAGTGTTACAGCAGGAAAACGAAAGCGACTTACTCCGGGCCAAGGCGGAGGAACGAGCCCGTCCGGGAAGCGCGGACAAGAGGGAGCCGCGCAGGAGAAGCGCCGGGTTTCTCCTGAGGTAGGGCATGGAAATCCGGGGGCAGGGCGTGGCACAGCCCGACCACGGGAGACCAGGGCGCACCGGAGCGCGGCCAGCCCACCTGCGCCCCGAGCGCACCGGGCGGGGGAGGCGCCTCCGCCGGAGAGCGCTCGGAGCCTACCTGGAACCCGGGCGCCAGGTCAGCGCACAGCTTCCCCCGGGAGGCGCCAGGCTGGGTGAACAGGTCCCGGCGGCTGGGACGGACTCAGCTCCCTCCCCCGGGCACGGGGAGCGAAGTCCGCGGGGGAAGTTACCGGGCTCCGCGAGGGGCGCGTCCTGCCCGCGCCCGGGCCCCACTCACCTGCGCGCCTCGGGCGCCGCTCCATGCCCAGGGGCCCTCCCCAAGCCCTGCTGCCGCCGCGGGCGCCGCCTCCTCCCCATGGCAGGGGAGAGCCAAGGCGGCAGCAGGAAGCCGGCAGCAACCGGGCGGCTCCAGCAGCGCCCTCCCCGCGGTAGCTCCACGCCCCCCGGACGCCGCGCCCGGGTCCTAGAGCCTCCTGGCACGACACAGCAATGAGGGGCGTGTGCGGGGACGAGCACCTCTCTGCGCAGCATGGCGAGGGGGCCCTTTCCAAGCCGAGAACCGCCCTAGCCAGTGGGTGGGCTCGGGCCGGGGCCCACTGGGGTCCAGCCGGCCCTTGCTGGGGCCTCCGGCCTCCCTAGACAGGCCTGGGCTCCGGGTGCGGCAGCGGGGTTCTGCTCTTCCCACAGCTGCTCCTTCGCCTACAGCGCAGGGGCGTTACTTGACATTCCCATAGCACCTCTCCTTCCACCGGGACCCCGGCGCTCCCTTCCCCAGCCCTGCAGGGCCAGGCCCCAGGGCAGAACAGTCAATGGGCCCCCCGCGCACCCCTGTGGACACGGCCCACCGGCTGCGCTGCTGGGCGCACTCTTCCGGCAGGGCCAGGGCTTCCACGTGCCCACCCCGGGGGTTGCCAACTGGCTAATTGCGCAAACCCAAAGACCCTTTCCCTGCCCCGAGACCCCTACCCCACCCCACCCCTGCTCACTCCATCCCCCTCCCTCCGTCACTCGCTCTCCCGCACCCTCACTCACTTTCACCAGGCTGGGGCACGGGGTTGGGATGCGGGAGGGGGTGAGGGGTGCAGACTCTAGGAGGGAGTTTGGATGTGGGAGGGGGCACGGGGCGCAGGATCTGGGAAGAAGTTTTGTGCGGGAGGGGGTGCAGACTCTGGGATGGAGTTTGGGTGCAGGAGGGGGTTTGGGGTGTGGGCTCTAGGCTGGGGCAGGGGTGCAGGAGGGAGTCAGGGGGTTGGCACTTACTTCCGGCAGCTCCCGAAAGCAACTGGCACACCCTTGTGGCAGCGGCTCCTAGGCAGGGGGCCAAAGGGAGCTGGGGAGTCGGCACTCAGGGCGTTTAAAGAGCATGAGAGCTGAGGTTCCCATGTAATCACTTGTCTCCAGGAGCTGGGTGTCTAAGAAAACTTCAAATATCACGGGACTTGTGATAAATTCACAATCATTAGCAACAATTTATTTCGAGCTATTGGCTCAAAGGACACGTTGTAAGGAATAGACGGTGCCAAAGACTAGATCACTGCTCAACAGAGGTTACAGTCCATTCTGGGATTTTCAAGAGACTAACAGAGTAAGGAACCCAAATTCCAATTGGAGTTGGGTGCCTAACTCCCTTTGGCATCTTTGAAAATCCCCCCTAAAAGCATAAGTGGGCATAATGTAGAAAGATAAACGTACAGTTCCCGAGAGGCCAGGGTGAGGGCGGTGCGGTCTTGGCAGCATTAGGGCACTGAGGAGTGATGTCAGAGCAAGCAGTATCTTCAGGGGGAGGGGCAGGATCTCCCTGGATGAGTGACTGCTAAAAAGATAAGGAATGGCAAGAGTGATCCAGCACCAGAATTTCCACCTGACAGCTCCCAAATACAGTGGTCAGCCAGGAAGGATGGGTCTGCTGTGGAGGATCAGGGAGAAGAACGCAGCCCCTTAGAAGCCCCTGCCTGTTGATCTTTAGACCCCGTCTCTGGTTCCCTGTCTGCCCCATCCCAAGCGACTATGCTGGGGTTATTATAGCCGACAAGACTATAATATAATGGGAGGAAGAAGGAAATGATCTGTTGGGAAACTCGCCGCTCCTCAATGCGACTTCCTCTGAAGCAGCTGGTGCTGGCCACTGTCAGAGCCAGGGTCCTGGACTAGGTGGACTTTGGGTCTAATTCAGCCTGGCAATTCCTGTTTTCCTACAAATTAAACCCTGTGAGGAGAGGACTGACAATGAGGACATAACCCCTCAGTACGTTTTCCTTATTGAAAGGCCTTGCCTCCAGGCTCGCTGAGAAGAACTGACAAACTTATGGCATTTTCAGGGCCCTTACTTTGTCCTCAGCCACAAATCTTGCCCCAAACTGGGTCCTGGCTCATCTCCTTTTTCAGTCCATAAACTGAAAGTGCATCAAATCATTGACCTTGGACAGAGATCTTTATCCACATTTGTCCCTGCCTGGTGTCACTCCATTGTGAGTTTTTCAATGGAAACATCCAGGTGGAACAGAGGGGGCATTCACTCCTCTGTGGAACACACAGGAAATGAGGCCTAGACCCCTGAAGTCCCTAAAGTGCAAGGAAGGTGTCTGCAGTCAGGCCGAAGGTATGAGGGCACTTAAGACATCCACTTCTCTCCATTGAAAAAATAGGCCATATTGCAGATAATCCACATTGTCCCTGCCCTCTGAGGGATGGTGGGAATGGTATCATCTGTCCCACCCTTTTGCACAATCAGCTAGTGAAATTTCTAAAGCACCTTGTGATCTTTTTGAATGGTACTGGTGTCTACTAGTAGTAATGGTGCTCTGAGGCCCCTACCAGGATCGGGGCCCCATTTGATAAGTGGGGCACAAAGCCAGAGCAGACGCAGTCCCTGCTCCAAAGACGGTATACATTAACAAACATCAGATATAAAATGCCAGATGATCACTATAACTGAGTATTTTGACTTTCAGTTTTCTATTTGCTGTGGTGCACTAAGGGCCCGATCCAAGGTCAATCTGAAGTCAATGGAATGACGTAGGTTGACTGCAGTGGCCTTTGGATCAGGCCCTAAGAACAAAAAAAGAAACCAGAGCCGTGGAGTCTCTGGGTTGGAGAGCAGCCTTCTCCTCTGCACTTTTGTTTTAATCTCTGTTTACCACGGTGTTTTCAGGCATATCAGCTTTTAGTAGGTCAAGAGCCCCACTCACAGGCTTTTGCTTTGGTTGTCAGTAGTTACATCTGTTGTGCTGTACTGTGAATATGGCACTGGGGAGAATGCAAATAAATATCCCATTTACTCAATGGCTGGAAAGCAACTTTGGTGCAAAAATGAACTAAGTCATCCTGATCCCGTGAGCATGGCCAGGCTGATGCTTGAGGGTTAATTGCTCACCTTCCTCTTTTCCTCTGGATTTGTGGTGTTTTCCTTTGGGCAGCTTCTTTGAATAATGTAGCAGATGCAGCCTCATAAAACAGCAGAAAAGGGCAACCATAAAATCTGATTTTGTTCCCCGTCTCCACCAAAGGCTTTGACGATCAAACAATCTTTTTATGAATAGGCTTATCTCTAACTAGGGCTATAGATGCAGCTAACAGGATTTTTATGGCACCTCTACTTTGAAACCTGTGTTTAAAAATACTGCCTTTTCCCCAAACATGCTTGTACATCAGAATATAAGAACAGCCATACTAGGTCAGACCAGTGGTCCATCTAGCCCAGTATCCGGTCTTCTGGGCCAATGCCAGGTGCTTCAGAGGGAATGAACAGAACAGGTAATCATCAAGTGATCCATTCCCCGTCACCCATTCCCAGCTTCTGGCAAACAGAGGCTAGGGACACTTCAGAGCATGGTTTTGCATCCCAGCCCATTCTGGCTAATAGCCATTGATGGGCCTAACCTCCATGAATGTATCTAGTTCTTTTTTGAACCCTTTTATAGTCTTGGTCTTCACAGCATCCTCTGGCACAGAATTCCATATATAGGGAAGACAGGAATTGAACCCAGGCAGCCGGTCTCCAGTCCCCTCCTCTAAACACTAGACAACACTGCCTCTGAAGTTACTTTCTCCCTCTCTAAATTCCCCTTATGCGGTTTCATCTGGATCCGGTATTTTTCACCTCCTGTCCTAAATTAATGTATAGGGTTGTCATGCACTGTTAAACTGCTGCTATGTTCCAGCCCAGAGGTGGCTGTATGTTCGTAGTGAAAGAAGTAATTCTTTCCTGTGTAGAGTCTGTAAAAAAAAAAAAAAACCCTCTGGGTGAAATTCTGGAAATGAGCTGACAGTCTGACTCAAGGGCATGAGGGAAGAAGGAAGTAACTCCTTAGCTACAATCTGCAGTAGTCAGGTCCGAGTAGCTCAACAGCTGCTGCGGCAGGAAATGGACCCATGTCAAAGCCCAGGATTGTTGTGTTTAACCCTAAGCAGGTTTGTGTGCTAGTGGAGTCATGATTTTCCTGGAGCTGTCCTTGCCCCTGGTCCTCCCCATCACGTCTGACGCCCACCATGGGGGAGAAAGATATGGGGCTGCTGATTTGCTCTGAGTGGCTTCTGGAACCTTGTCTACACAGTGGACGTTTTGCAAACTGTTTCTAACATAGTTCAGTTCCCCTCGATGGTAGATGGTGTCTCAGCCTTCATCAGTGACTATCATGTCATCTAATTCCGTTCTGAGGATGTCTCAGCAACACGGTGCTGAAAATGCTACCACCAGCCCATCTAGTCTGGGGCTCCTACTAACAATTATTTATTATTGTTATTAAGGAATTCAATGTGATTGCACCAATTCATGGACCAAGAGTTTTCAGCAGAGATTGGGAGCAATATGTATATCTGGTCACTAGGGCTGCAGCAATTGTTACTATATCAGACAAGGGAGGAATTGTACTGAGAGGAAGAGATGAAATTGCTTAGATGTAGTCTCTCTCATTTCACTAGATGTGCAGTTTTGATCAATCAGTGGAAAATTATTTGAATGGTTGAGAAATTCAGACACTGTTTGCTTCATTTCTGCTGCTGTTCCCCATTTACAGCGACTAGAACATATCTAAAAGACCAGAATATATTATGCTGAATACAACCTCCCAGAAGAGCTTGCAGTGCTGATGAGAAGAGTTACAGCAAACACTGAAGTTAATTCAGAACTGAATAGTGATTTCAGGTGCCTCAATTTTTGGGTGTCCAATTCAAGACATCTTAAAGGAACCTGATATTCAGAGGTTAACTTCTCAGCACTTACAGAAAATCAAACCCTTTTAAGGGATCTCATGGTGAGCAAACCGCTCCCTCCCCCCCCAGTTTATTTTGCAAAATTCGGCACGAAATTTCATGTTATTTTGCATCTGAAATGTAGGATTATTTTATTTATCTAGCAGACATCCAGCAAGACCATTTAGTGTGTAGTATCCCCATGAGCAACTAAACCAGGGAAAGCCAGAATGATTTTAGAGGCAAAATTGAAGTGCAAGGCCTAGCTCTAATACAGATCAGTACATTCCGGAAGTTTGGAGTTGTATCAAGCCAAGCGTGAACAGAAGAACAAATCCTGATCCAACCTCCCTCCATCCAGAATTCTAGATCAGACTCACCTCCAGTTTTAAAGGAATAATATTTAGCTTTTATACAGCATTTTTCATCTGTAGATCTCAAAGCATTTAAAGAGAGAGAGAGAGAGAGAGAGAGAGATAAGGTAGATGAGGTAATATCTTTTACTGGACCAACTTGGTGAGAGAGACAAGCTTACCTCACCCATCTTGTCTCTCTGATATTCTGGGACTGACACATCTACAACAATACTGCATACGTATTAAAAAAGGACACAAACATTGTTATACCCATTTTTCAGGTGTGAAAGTTGAGGCACAGAGAGGTTACATAACTTGCCTCACATCACACAGTGAGTCAACGGAAGCGTTAAGAACAGAATACAGCTCCCCTGATTCGCAGGCCTTTGCCCAGGCCAGTGAACCAGGATGGTACCCACTATAACAAAATAATACATAACAATGGGAGGTCACAATGAGCAACTCTAGCTGTATTGGATAAAAGGCATGCACTAGCTGTTCAGATGGAGCTATTACAATCTACACAGGGTGAGGATCTAGTCCCCTTGCCACCATTATCTATGACACTGATAGTCATGCATTTAAAAAGCTTGCATTTTATTACTATTAAAGTTTATTTAAACTTAACTCCTTATTAGTCTGGAGATTTCATATGGACCAATCCATTTTGGTAATATATGTAAAGTTATCTTAATAGGCACTAGATAGCTGTAACAGGGTCTCCCCAAACTCAGCATCAGACCCTGCCTCTGCCTTACTTTCTCCACACTCGTGTAAGCCCACAGGCCAACTTACCAGCCAGCTGCATCAAAGGAGTTTCCACTACTATCAGTATTACCTTCCCTTTTCTTAGGGTTGCATTTATTGTTCAAATACAGCCCAAAAGCAATCAGCTAGGTAAACCAGGTCCTGCTGCCTGGCCCCTCCTAAGACCTACTGCCTCAGAAGGCTGTTTCTACTGAGAGAACAGGTGTCACTAGCCAGGTCTGTCCCTACCTAGTGTAACAAGCCCCTTTCTGGTACTTTCCCTGATCCAGAATCTCCAGCAATCCCCTCCATACAGCTCCCTCCCAGCCCCCAAGTAAGCTGCTTGTTGGTCCTATCTCACCATTTGAGATGCAGCTAGTCAGTCACAGGTGGGGGCCGTAGGGCTCTGCCTGACTCCCTTAAAGTGGTCATCTCACCCTGAAACAACAGCCCTAATATGTGGGACAATATTTTCTCTGTTTCTTTTCTTGTTAGTATCATCTTCTTTTTACTGAACTAGCAAAACTTACAGCCTGCATTGATTTTGCTGCAAATGCAATTTTGCATTCACTTAGAGCTTTGTCTGAACACTTTAGCCCCTTCAAACAATTGCAGTTTGCTTTTCCCCCCTAGTGCTTCCACTGCAATCATCTGTCTCTATGGGCACTCTCTAGTTGGTGGCTAGTTCAACATGACTCCTTTGGAATTTACTGCTACTAAGTCTTTGTGAAGCTAATGCAACTGCCTTATGGTCGTGTGTTCCTGTGGTTTGCAAGGTGTATGTCCTTGGGAAATGTAGAGACGCAGGGACAAACCTACCAGATCCCACCGTCGCATAAACACGTTCCTTATGTGGTATGATGCCATAAGACAAAGTCAAAGCTGCAATTTTTCTATAGTAGCACAGCACAGTGTTGTGGCTTGTCCAAAGTTAATTGGAAGAGGGGGGCGGGGTGGGAAATTTCCATGCACAGCTCTGGTGCCGATCATCTATGACTCATCTGCAGTATAATACAAAGCCAAAATGAGAAGCATTGCCCCTAAACTGTTCCAGTTTGTGACTGGCAAGCAACCCAACGGAACAGACGTACCAGTTGGATCTGTCCAAGAGCCGAGCACCAAGCGTCTACTTCACGCTGACCGACTTGGCACGCTCTGCAGTGATTATGACTGTGTCCAGTTTTACCTCCCCTTGGCTGGCATGTGTCCATTAATTGGGGCTTTCACATTTACAGGTGCTTTCACAGCTGACTGCCGTTCCTGCATGGAGGTCTGGATTTTAACTCACATGGCACTATACAATCAGGATGTCTCTACGTATGCAGGCAGAGTGGCATTCTCCTGGTACAGCTAAGAGTTTGGTAGGTTTGTATCTTCTAAAATGCATGGCAACTCTTGTTGTCACGTTTCCCTGTGTCTAGTGGTAGTACTTTCTTCCAAAGAGTTTAGGCTATCTATCCTTCTGCAGTTATTAAGGATTTAATTAAGTGGCATCAAACAGCTGTTAGATATTAAGGGCCCCAATCCTAACTCCATTGAAATTCCACTGATTTCGATGGGCTCACAAATTATATCTAAGGATTCAGAATCTGCTGGGGCTGAGTTTTCATTGCATCTTTTCTTGCTGGGGAGTGAAGAAGATCTGTAGTCTCATCAGACAAGACGTGCCTGCTGCTTGTCCTTAGGAGCTCAGTTTTACTTGTTACCTAAGGCCTTAAAAGTCAGACAGAAGTTTCCCAGGAATATGAAACCCAAATTACATCCCCTCTCCTCTCCCCAGTAGAGGTGAAAATAGATCACTATGTGTTCCACAGGGTTACCTAGACAAATTAGTCTACATGGAGCTATGGGCTCTTGCCTTCATCCCACTCCCAGTTCTTAATCTTCTTCCCAAATGAGACAAGCCCAGCCCAACCCAGCATGTAACCATGAGCCATCAGCCCTGCACCAGGTGGCCTCTGACTCACCGGTGGATCTGGGTCACTTCCAATTTCAGGGGCTGGTTCCCAGGGATAATGCCTTAAATTACTCTTAGCATGCATGAATTGGCAGGCCAGATTTTTGGCAGAAAGGCAGAGCAGGCAACGCTCCCTCTGTTGATTTAGTGAAGGTCCACCATGCCCATCCAAATTAAGGGATTTGCTTGCATGGGTACATTCAAATAACCCTCTGTAAGTCCAGCTTCAATGGGAGCACTGTCATGAGTTAAGGACTGCAGGAATTGTAGGACTATACCCCGCTCCTTGTTTCTCCACTCTGGGTGCTTTTGTTATGTTATGTTATGATTTCAAGATGGCAGCCCTCAGGCTGGGGAAATTACTGAAGGATGTTTGGTGTGAGCAAAATTCCTTTATCCTGAGCATTGGTCATGCGGATGTCTTCTTGGAGAGGGGGTAGGAAAGTCTCCATGCACAGCACTGTGGAAGTCCAGGCTGGTTAAGCAAGCTTTTCTCCACCTGTTCTACAACTATTTTTCAATGAGCTTTAGTAACAAATGCCACCACTGGTCAACCCCAGGGTCTGAACTCAGAACAAGAGCTGGTCAGAGAAACTTCGATGGAACCATATTCTTCAAGTTCCATCGAAATTGAAACAATTTGGGAAATTGGGTCAAAAATAGTTCTGACAATGTTGTAATTACTGGGTTTGACATTTTTTGGAATGAAAGGTTTAAACTTTTGTTTTGAAATGACTTTGTTTAGATTTTATTTTTTTAATTTTGCATTTTATTATATAATAGTCAAAAAATCTATAAAAGTCAAAATGGAAGTGAAACATTTCCATTGGTCAAAATAAAATCTTCTGATTGACCCAAACCTATTTTCCCCTGGAATTTTCCATAGCAGAAAAATTCAGAATTTTCAGTTTTTGTTCCTGTTTGGAATTAAGCTAAATTTAGAGATCTCAAAATTCTTCACAATGTGGAACTTCCATCCTCCCACAGCTCTACTCAGAACTCCCAGTATTCAGACCCAGACCTTGATTTACCTGCCTGCATATAGCGACGTCAGTTCTTGCACAGTTCCTCTCCTAATCACTTATGCAATATTTGTGAAGGCTGTCATATCAAGCCTACTTGATCTACAGGAGTAACTACAGTAGCTGGCAGCAATAGTGGGCTGTTATATGTTCTGTGTGGATTAGCCACTAGAGGAAGACACAACATACACTTCATATGTTGACATTAAGGTTACTGGTTTTGTGATCTTATGTATTTAAATTGTTACTTAATCCATCAAAAATGTGACTATTAAATGTAGGACTGAAAACATTCAGGAAATGCTGCTTAATTAATACTTCAGATTCTGCCCAGTTCAATTTTTAACTGGGTATCTTTCTAAGTATGTGATTAATGCCTAGTAATTTCCACGAGGCACTCTGAAGGTGGGCAACAAAGAGTGGAGTTTCAGCTACATAAATAAGCTCCTTGTGCCCTCAGTTTCCCGCTATGGTCCCATTCTGTAAAGCGAAAGACCTTCCAAGGCTGGATGTTTTAGAGGCCATGGGCTGAGGCCAAGTCAGCTCTGTAATGAGTAGAAGGGAATGTTAAGAACTGACCTTGGTATCACTTCTGTAACAGTGAAAGAAAAGTAGGTCGTACTGATGAAAAACAGAACCCTGAGTCGCAGCTTGTAGCAGACATGAAATAACAGAAATGTCTACCAGAACGTTAAGTGGAATTTCCTTGCCAAATTCCCATGTGGTGATTATATGCTCTCTCCCTGCATATAGTTATATCAATACTTGTGCATTTCCTCTTCTATTCAGCGGTGTCATATTCGCCTGTTAAACATCCATTGCCTTTCACCACAGAGGTGTCTGCATTTCAGAGGTAGGTGGCATGATTCCTGTATGTACATGTTTCAGAGGAACAGCCGTGTTAGTCTGTATTCGCAAAAAGAAAAGGAGTACTTGTGGCACCTTAGAGACTAACCAATTTATTTGAGCATGAGCTTTCGTGAGCTACAGCTCACTTCATCAGATGTTTACCGTGGAAACTGCAGCAGACTTTATATACACACAGAGAAGTGTATATAAAGTCTGCTGCAGTTTCCACGGTAAACATCTGATGAAGTGAGCTGTAGCTCACGAAAGCTCATGCTCAAATAAATTGGTTAGTCTCTAAGGTGCCACAAGTACTCCTTTTCTGTATGTACATGTGATTGATTTATCCATACCCAGACTGTTTGTTTTATCTCGCCTCTCTCAACTCTGCCTTTCCAAACAGATTTACTTCTCCTTCCTTGTCTCTAGGCTGCCCATTGGCAGAGGCTTTCTCCTCCCTTCAACTCTTTCCTTACACCAATGGGACTCGCATACACATATCAGAGGGCAGAATCTGACCTGTTGTCCTTATGGAGCCTTTCCTATGTCCCCTTCCCTTGCCTCCCCTCTGGTACAGAACAACTTCCTGATAGATCCTGATTCATTTGCATGACATCTAAACAGCCCCTTTCCTCCTATATTTATACTATAGTCCCCATGGGTGATGTATTTTTAAGTCTTTGACTCAGTCGCACTGCTGACCTTGCCCTGTGGCAGGTTTGTCTCTCTTTGGGGCTCCTGGAGTCAAATATGTGATGATAAACACCTTGCTGCTAACAAAGGAAATGGCTCCTAGGTGAGCTTTCAACAGGTAAACAAAACGGCCATTCAAAGTGACATTTGATGCCACTGCACCAGAATAGAGGATAGTATGTTACCCAGTAGGTGAAGTGGTTTTTTAGGTTACACTTTTGTGGAGGAAATTGGTTACAAACATTTGCCCCATCTCTGTTTCAACACAGTTCCAGTGGTTATTAAAACAAGGTATTTAATGCCTGAATAAACCAATGATACTGAAATAGCTTTCACATGATACACAAGTCACGGTTCCTTTCCTAGAGAAACAGTAAACGGTATCTTAGTGTTCACTGAATGTTCGCTTTCGGTTGTCAGCGGAGCTCATTGATGCAAAGTTGGCATTTGGACAACAGATTTCTCTAGAGAATTCAGAAAGTCTTAGTATCTGACTAAAATGTAAGGGCCTGATCCGAAACCCATTAATGTCAATGGAAAAACTCACATTGGTTTTAAGAAGCTTTAGATCAGGCCCTTAGTTAAGAAATTGTGTGGGGGCCTGATGCAAAGCCAGCTGAGAACGTGGGTCTTTCCATTGACTTCCAGGAGCTTTGGATCAACTCAGATATGCTTTCTGCAGCCATTATGTCCATGGAGCAGCTGCAGGATTGGGCTCTGAATGTGAAATTCACCCCTGTGCAGAGAACACACACAAGATTTATCTGTCACTTAAGATCTAAGCACTTAAGCAGGTACCTAATTTTAAGCACACAAGTGGTCCCACTGAAATCAATGGGATTGCTCACACGCTTGAGGTTAGTCACATGCTCAAATACCAGGCTGAATTAGGGCCTACTGTCCAGATTTTTAAAGCTGTTTTGGTGCGTAAGGATGCAGGTAGGCACCTGTCATAAATATAAAGGGAAGGGTAAACCCCTTTAAAATCCCTCCTGGCCAGAGGAAAAATCCTCTCACCTGTAAAGGGTTAAGAAGCTAAAGGTAACCTTGCTGGCACCTGACCAAAATGACCAATTAGGAGACAAGATACTTTCAAAAGCTGGGAGGAGGGAGAGAAACAAAGGGTCTGGGTCTGTCTGTATGCTGCTTTTGCCAGGGATAGACCAGGAATGGAGTCTTAGAACTTTAGTAAGTAATCTAGCTAGGTATGTGTTAGATTATGATTTCTTTAAATGGCTGAGAAAAGAACTGTGCTGAATAGAATGACTATTCCTGTCCGTGTGTCCTTTTTGTAACTTAAGGTTTTGCCTAGAGGGATTCTCTATGTTTTGAATCTAATTACCTTGTAAGGTATCTACCATCCTGATTTTACAGAGGTGATTTCTTTACTTCTATTAAAAGTCTTCTTGTAAGAAAACTGAATACTTTTTCATTGTTCTCAGATCCAAGGGTTTGGGTCTGTGGTCACCTATGCAAATTGGTGAGGATTTTTACCAAACCTTCCCCAGGAAGTGGGGTGCAAGGGTTGAGAGCATTTTGGGGGGAAAGACGTGTCCAAACTACGTTTCCCAGTAAACCCAGTTAGAGTTTGGTGGTGGCAGTGGAGATCCAGGGACAAGGGATAAAATTAATTTGTACCTTGGGGAAGTTTTAACCTAAGCTGGTGAAAGTAAGCTTAGGAGGTTTTCATGCAGGTCCCCACATCTGTACCCTAGAGTTCAGAGTGGGGGAGGAACCTTGACAGCGCCTAACTAACTCTCATTGATTCAATGGGAGTTAGGCACGTACGCCCCTAGCAGATGCAGCCTCTAGCACGCTAGCTGATTGCTCCTAAATCCATATTCAGGCAGCTCAGTTGCCTAATTTTCAGAGATGCCGGGCACCCCAGACTGTCTGTGAGGCACTACCTGTCTGTCAGTGAGATCAGAGTTTAGCGCCGTATATTTAAAATTCCTTTTTCTAAATACTTGTTTGTCTCACTCAATACCAGAGAGGAAAAGAAAAAAGAGAGAGACAAAAAGAGTGAAGCAGAAAATACGTGTTGTAAGTGATGTTCTCCTCCGGACAGAGATTTGAGTTTCATATTCCGCTTGCTTGATCTTCCCCCCTGCCTTTCATTTTTCGCCATTCATGCTAATGAACCTTGTAGTCCCAGGGAATCTCTTCATTTCAATTTTCCAAAAGGCTTGTCTGACAGCTACTCTGTGGCCTTAAATGTGTAAAATTGATCTTTCCTCACTGTGAGCCACTCTGAGCCACTTCCCCTTAGTGAGCCACTTGACTGTACTGGGCCAGATCCTCAGATGGTGGAAACTGGCAGAGCTGGAGCGAGGCCATTTTGCCTAAAACAAACCCAACAGCTGCCTGCCCGACAATATGTTTCACCAAAAGAAAACATTTACTTAGAACCCAGAGCCCCGATGAGCTCCCATAACTTCTAATAAATAAACAAAAGCATCCTTTGGGCCCAGAAATTTGTAGCAATAATCGTTCCACAGTAAGACCATACTGATAATAATACAGAACCACTGAGCCAGAAAGTCCCCAAAGTGCTTTACAGACTGCAGCAAAGAGCTTGCTCTGTCACGGCTGAAGTGCATCCAGCTCTGGAGAGGAAGACAGCACCCATTCTATGCCAGACACGCTAAACAATCATTCATAGGGAGGGAAGGGAATTATTATAAGAAGCTCAGCACAATGTGTGTACCAAGGTTTGAATTTGGCCAAGATATCAGGACCAACACTCTGTGGGCAGGAGCTCATCTTTCCACATTTTTAACTGGAGCGAGGACACCTCCAACAGCATATGCTCCTTAACGCCGTGCCGGGGCACTGGCTCAGGACTGACTCACAGGGAAGAATGTCACCTATGGAATCGCCGGCATTGCTTCTCGTCGCAACAGACACTTCCTAGCAGGTATCCCACCCAGGCACTGAAAGTTTGCCCATGTTGGTGAAATCACATGGGACTGCAGGCTGAAAGAGTAGGGCTGCTCCTACAGATGGTATCTGTCAATTTCGGAAGCTGTGAGTGCCCCAGAGGCTGAGAGGTGAGTCAGGTTTTTGAACTCTTGCTGCACAATGCTGAAGTGACTTCAGATGAGGAAGTACAGCCCCTGCCTGACATTACTGTCTATCCATGGTATTTCTAAAGCAGGGCTCACCATGGGATCTATGCACTGGAGAACAATGAAAGGGCCGATCCTTCAAGGTTCTGAGTGGGAGGCATTTCACTGCCTCACTTCCCACTGATCTCCTGCAGCGCTCCCAGCAGGTGTTCACCACTTTGCATAATGAGGGTCAGTGGCAGCATGGAGGGTGCCCCAAAGGGCCATATCCTTCCCGGCTCCCCACCCTGTTCCAAAGTACGGGTTGATTTTCATTCACCTAATTTCGCCTCCTCCTCATGTTTCCTCTCTCTTTTTATCCTTCCTCCCCAGTGCGACGTCAAAGCAGTAGACAAACGTGATGGGCTGATGCTGGGTGATGACAACTGGGAGCAATCTCACTGGGGCTGGTCTTTCCTGCCCCATTCAAACTGGCAGTCCTGGGGGCCCACAGTCATCCCATGAGTGCGTTTTGTATTTTTGGGGGGCCCACCCAGAGAGAGGAATGGATCAGTCAGGTCATTGGCTGGGCATCACTATCATTTCACAGGGGGCCCAGGTTGGGCTCTGAAAATTTTCTGGAATGCTTGCTGGAAATCTTTTACTATAGGGAATCAGCACTGGGTTTATCTGGGTCCCCCAGCATTAACACAATACAGACACTTTAAACAAAGACATGCCACCGTGTTAGGTTTGAACGGAGTTGCCTCTAGCAACGGCTACAATATGTACAACCCAAGAAGTGTGCGTTTCATTCATCCTCTTGAGATTTCCTTCCCATTTACTGGCCACAATGTCACCGTTGACTTCAGCGAGTCCTGTCTGGCCTGAACAATCCAATTCCTTACACATTGGTGACTTCCAGACTACCAAAGCGTTCCAAGCGGCACTGCTCTGGCCTACTTAGCTTCATCTCCTCACAGCACTCTTCGTTTTTGAGAGATCCATAGTCGTCATGGCAATCAGTGTCTTTTCCACTGAATCCCCTTCCAATTTTCCCCAGGGGAAGCTGCAAATGAAATCAGAGGAACGTAAGGATAATCTCCATCATTGTATGGCGATTTTTAAGAGCAGGTTAGAGAAAAAACACCTGTTAGAGATGGTCTAGCTAATACTTAGTCCTGCCACGAGTGCAGGGGACTGGAGTAGATGGCTTCTCGAGGTCCCTTCCAGTCCTATGGTTCTAATGTCATGGGAAGAAAGAGACAGGACGCACAATAGTGTCATGGAGGGAAGGGGGCACCAGATCTGCTTAACCAAGAACTGACCCGAAGCTCCTTTAAAATCCACGTACAGTCAGAAGTAGGACTGTAAAGGTGTCATTTCCGCAGAGTTCCATATCGCAAGAGCTTCCAGATCCAAATTTGCTCAGTATACAAATCAAAGGTTTGTTTCTCTAATTGCCAGCACTGGAAACTCAATCTGGAATCTGAGAGTATTAAAAACCCACAGCTGGGCCCTGCCAACAGACTCGGGCTCAGTCTAAGGGGCTATTTAATAGCGGTGCAGACTGGATCCCGGGCTATGGGACACTGCAAGCGGGGAGGGTCCCAGAGCTTGGGCTCCAGCCTGAGCCCAAATGTCTACACTGAAATTAAACAGCCCCTTAGCCCGAACCCCACTTGCCCGAGTTGCCTAGCACGGGCCAGCCATGGGCTTTTAATTGCAGTGTAGACATACCCCCGAGGGCAAGATCCTTGTCTGCTGTAAGTTAGCATAGCGCTCCTGGAGTCAACAGAGCGACGCTGATTTACACCAGCTGAGGATCTGATCTGGAGAGTCAAACCCCGTGAGTTCTGCCTCTTGCACCAAGAGCATTGCTACCGGTTCTGTGCTCAGAGTGGCACTGGCATCTGCTGGCTCACAAGGAGGTACCAAACCCAGCTCGCTCACCAGTAGCTGGGCTGGCTGCTCTAAGAGGAGACAGGAATGTTTGTTTGAGTAAAGGCAGCAGAGCTGCATTTGTATTGAGTAAGAAAAAGTTGTGTTTTTTTTTAAAGTGGAATAATGAGCACAAAAGTGACTCTAAATCTTACTCTTCTTCACACCACAGATCTGGTTCCCTGAGTCTGTCTTACTGGCTCAGCTGACTAAAGCAGGTTCCTATGGCTTTTGTACGCTTATCTTTGCCCAGCCAGGATCTATTCCGGCTCAGGTGTCCTCAATAGAATTTTTCACTAAGTTCTGTCTGCAGATTCGTCACTGCCAGTCATATCAGCGCACAGCTTGATTGTCAGCTCCCTTGCTGAGGGGCCCGATTCTGCCACTTGTACTCAGGGTACTTCCAGTCAAACTACCCACATAACGAGGGACCACTCGGCGTGAGTAAAGGTAGCAGAATTAGACCCTCAGTTGGCAGGGCTGGCAGTTAGGAATTTATTATTTTGTGCTTGTAATCTGGGTGAATCTAACCCCGAGTCATTGAGCTACAACAACCAGGGAAGTTCCAGGGTGGCATTTTTACAGTTACTTTTCAGAGGAGAATCCACCCACACTTTAAAAAAATGGCTTCTCTGATTATAGCCTCACATTAAGGCTTGAAATATGTTTGCATAGTTTGCATTCTGCTCCATACTTCCAAACAACCACCCTCCAGCTTCCATCAGGGACTCTGTGTTCTCTATCTGTTGTTCCTAAGGAAGAGGTTGTTGGGGGGGGGGTGGTTTCAGAGTCTGTCCTGAAGTCCCCCATTGTTTCCCCTTTAACCGTAAAGACCCAGGGCCAGTTCCTCCACTGGTGTTAATCAGTACAGCACCATTAAAGTCAATGGAGAGATTTCAGTTTGGACCAGCTGAGATTCCAGCCCTTGTTGCAGGCTGAACCCCCTTCCAGCCATCTGGAGTGGCAGGCACATTGCCAGTCAATGGAGTTCATCATGCTGGCCAGCAAGGGGCGCTAGAAAGCAACATAAGATACTAACCCTACAAAGACAGGTTTCAGAGTAACAGCCGTGTTAGTCTGTATTCGCAAAAAAGAAAAGGAGTACTTGTGGCACCTTAGAGACTAACCAATTTATTTGAGCATGAGCTTTCGTAGCTCATGCTCAAATAAATTGGTTAGTCTCTAAGGTGCCACAAGTACTCCTTTTCTTTTAACCCTACAAAAGGGCTCAACCAGGGCTCCCTTGACATCTCTAGAGAAAGCTTTGACTCTGTGGAGGCATTGCACTGGACTGCTTTAGACTGCTGGCCCAACACCTACGGGTATAAGACTATTTCTAAATATTTCTAAGACTATTTTAAAGTATTTCTTACATTATATATAATGTAAGAAATACTTTAATACACACACAGAGAGAGAGAGAGAGACAGCTAATTTTAAAATGAATGCAATTAATTATTTCATTAGCTCACACATGCCTCTTCTGAGTATTTACATCCCCAATTATCATGGAGATGAAATGACAGCTCCAAGCAGAAAATCAGTCATTTCCAGCTGGGAGAGGGGAGTAATTTGGACGTGGTGATTAAATGGCCCCTCCTATGCAAGTTATAATTGGTTTGTTATTGAGCTACTCATCACATAAATTCCAGGCTTAAAAATGCCAACTTTCCCTGGACACAAAAAGGCTTTTCAGTGTAATTTAATTCCTGTAAAGAATATAATTTATAGTCACCCATCTTGCATTATGCTGCTTAATGCCCTTACTCATGCACCTAGTTGATAACTTATTAGCATCAGTGGGGAAACAATGCAGAGGGGTTTACTGGGGCAATCTAGAGTTGTACTGCCTGCCCAGTTTCCCATTGGTCTCTGTGTGAACCGCCGTAGGCTGTAGCGATAGGACCATAAAAGTGAAGAGATCGAACCTCAAAGGGAGAGCAGCAGGGAAAGGGGATCTGAGCCCGGGGAAGCAGTCATCAAGTCATATTTTCAAAACAGCTCAGGCCCAGATTTTTCAGTAGTGTTTAGTAACCAGTTCAGGTTATAGTGTTATATTCGCCACCCCGCCAGCCTCCGCTGTAAAAATGTAAACAGACTCACCCTGCTTGCTTTGCATTTTAAGCTGCTCCCCTCCTCCTTGCTCTGCCTGGTAGCACTGGAGGTGCGCCTGAGTGAACCCTGTTGGACGAGAGTCGACGCTCCATACCGCTCGCTCTCTAGAACACCTGTAGGGCTGAACAATGAACAGACACTCATCTCACAGAAGTTTTTAATGTGGAGCCAGTAAACGAAAGAGCCACATTCAAAATCAAACAAGTGGTGGCTGGGTTTTTTTAAAAGGACTGGTTCATCTGATGCCCAGTTATAACAGGCATCCATGACAGCCAATAACTGAGGCTCAAATTGTAACATCTATGCTAGGGCAGGTCCAGAGGTGAAGTAAGCCGGTGCGCTCCCGTACGGCATACTGGTAAGAGCCAGTGCGCTGTACCGGGACCAGCTTTCGCAGGTGGCAATTTAAAGCCCTAGGGTAGCGGTGGTGGTGGGGCTCCGGCAGGGATTGAAATGGCCCCGGAGCTCCAGCCGCTGCGACCGCCCCGGGGCCCTTTAAATCCCTGCCAGAGCTCGGCCGCTGCTACCCCAGGGCTCGGGCAGCAGGGCTCAGGCGGGGATTTAAAGGGCTCGGGGCTCCGGCAGCTGCTACCACAGCAGAGCCCCAGGCCCTTTAAAGCTCTGCCAGAGCCCAGAGCCCTGGGGTAGCGGTGGCAGCCGGGAGCCCCCAGGGCTCCTCAGTGATTTAAAGGACCCGGGGCTCCACTGCGGTAGCGGCAGCTGGAGCCCTGGGCCCTTTAAATCGCCCCCGAGCCCCCAGCCGCCTCTGCAGCTGGTAGCTCGGGGGTGATTTAAAGGGCCCCAGGCTCCCAGCCGCCACGACCGCAGCTGGAGCCCCGGGCCCTTTAAATCAAGATTTTAAATCAAGATTGAAAGGTCCTGGGGATTTAAGGCCCTGCCTCTTCCGGTTGAGGCCACGCTCCCTGCTCAGGACTCCGGCGTAGCGGTAAGTCCTCTAACTTACTTTCACCCCTGGGCAGGACTAATGTGATCTCATTCTGCACAGTGTATTGTAATGGCTGCAGAGATCAAGAAAGAATCCCCCCACCCCCCCTTCTCTATGTGTAGAGGTGCATACCTGGCCTTTTTGCCTTCCTCTCAAGCGTCAGGTACTGGTGACTGGCCAATAGTTTCATGAGCCAATACTGTCCGCCAGAGTCAGGCCCCAAACAAAACTTCAACAAACCCAGTATTAGTGAAAGGCTAGATTCAGACCCAAACTTTCCTCCTGGCCCCTGTGTCTATAATGAGGTGAACAAAAACCTGGCTCCACGTCCCCAGAAGCTTCAGAAGAGGTCAGCTCCATCTGTGCTCTGACTCGGAGCAGCAAATTCCTGCTTCCCAAAATAATGAACTTCAGGCACTGACCAGCACTCCGGGCTTTCCAGATGGATAGAGATGAGGGTGCATTTGCCAAAGAGAGATTTTTACAGGGTGCAGGGAGGAAGACATACCAGGCCCCTTTCCCGTCTGCAAGGTTAGGTGGCGCCAGATGCTCCCACATGCATCTACCAGAAGTAGTGGGACTTCTTTGACATACCCAAAGTGGACCAGAGCCCTAAACTGGCTTGGCCAGAAAAATCAAAGGCATTGGATAGTGCACACTAGGATGGCCTCCAGGGGAGAGCTGATTACAACACAAAGCAGGTGTATGTGCTGATCTGGACAGCTGACCTGGACAGCTGACCCTGCTTTGGCACTAGAAGCTCTATTCCAAAGGAGAAATTGCTTTGGCTTGATTCTAGGATTGCTTTTCCTGGAGCGGGGGGGAATTCATCCATCCACGATTAGAAGGGCTGGCTCCAATCCTTTTGTGCCGTGACAAAGTCCAGTCCTCTCCATTGCTCGCAGTGCATGTCACCTGCTCCTTGCTGTCATCCAGTCACTTTCCATTTGCCTTCCCATCAATCGACACCCTGGCTTTCTTCCTCCCAGCAGCCATTCTACCCAGCGCCACAGTCCCCGGCAGCCAGGTTTTCTTCTCGCTCTGCAGTGTTAGGTGGTGGGGACACGGCCTATCTATCTAACAAGGAAATCTTTTTGCTGCTCCTCTGCTCGCTCCAGGGACACAGGGTCCAAGTCAGTCCCTGCACCTGCCTCGCTTTTGTGTCTTTCATGGACATTCCCCTTTTCTTCACAAGTGTCATTTGATCCACGAGCCAGTCTCCTGCGGCCAGCAGTGGGCTAGGTTCCATTCTGAGACATCGTGGGGCCAGGGTCGTTCAGCCTCTCCACTGTCAATGCATGTGCTTTGATTTTACACAAATACTTGGGAAGCAGCTCTTATCTCACCAGCCTGTCCGTCTCCTCCTCCTGCTGCTGGCCCCTTGTTAACTCTAGCTCACTGGCTGCTATGCTGGTCTTATTCCCTCTCTGCAGGAGGGAAAAACCATTGCTGACAACTCTGGATTCCTCTAGTGGGAGAAATGGATTCAGGATAATGCCTCCTGGCTCCCCCTCTGTAAGGTCCCTCTCAGGCACTACCCTGATCATCTCATATCCTGCTTCACCCCTGAACAGGTATAGCCTGGAGAAAGGCAACTTCCTCTCACTGCCCCTCTATCCTGACCTGAAGGGACCATCCCTAGAAATGAGGATGGGGACATTTTCCAGACACATTCCAGCCCTGACCTCTCTGCCTCTTCTACCAGTTGGGACAAAGGACTGAAACCCCCCAACTTATTCTGTGTAGGTCTCCAAGGACCCAGTAATATGGTAGCATCTTTAAAATTACTCCTGACATGTTGGATTTCAACAGCTGACCTAGCAGTGAAATCCCTCCCGTAACTCATTAGCAATGCCATAAGCCATCCTTTGGACAGCTGGTTTTGATGCCAGGAGAGTGGGCTGTGCCTTTGCCATTCTGGCTGCTGCTTCTCATCGTGACAGTAACAGAGCAGTCAGTAATCAGGGCAGGCAGAAATATCGCTTTCTAGTGGATGGGTTCTGCAACGTACAATGCTGCCATCCCCAGCGCAAAGCCTTCTGCTGTCAACACAGCGGATTGCTTGTACAGTACTGACAGCTCAGAAACTCTAGGGCTCCCAATTTGCCTGGGCTCTTTGAGGGTGTGTGTATGTGTGTGCAAACAAAAGCACAATATTTGCAATGTGAACCATCTGTTTCGGGTGAGCCAACTAACCAGAGCCATCTGTATAGTCGGGCCTGAAAAAGCTTGAAATCTCACTGCCTCCACTGGAAATTTGCAGGAGAATTCCCCTCTCAGCTCTCAACTGGATACTTTGCAGAAATCCTGCTTGTGTGGACAGAAGTGCCATGCAGTGAATGAGTGCCGAATACGCCCAGCAGAGCCCCACTGCAGCGGCCTGTATTCTACATTGCTCAAGGTAACCGAAGTCCAACTCAGCCTGTTATACAAAGTTGTTTGTAAAAGTCAGCAAAAAGAGGAGATAAAGAGCCTGATACTAACTGGATTGTTTAGGTTACAAGAACTGTGCTAAGGGATCTGCAAGGCTCCTGGTAAAGTCACAGGGCGGCATAAGAATGAGCAGAAAGATTCTAGAGATGGGTGAAAATGTTTATGTTGGAAATTAGTGGCATGTTTTCCCATTTCCTTGGACATTGTTGACCTGGTGGGGGGTCACGCCATGGATGCGGGGAAAGAGGAAGACATGGACTGGAAGGAGTGAGCTTCGCAAGCTAAAAGCAATGCCCTAAAAAGCCCTGGGCTGGAACGAGCTCGGCGTAGCTGATAAGACATTGGGCCGTGCTTGCATTCCTCCAGCAGCAAAGTTGCAAGTGAAAGTCGGCTCCAGAAACGGAAGCTGTATTTTCTAGCTTAGCTGTTCTTTTTTCTCCCAGTGCACGCGTGTGTGTTCGGTCTAAAAGAAAATAGGCCTGGACGTCACCAGCAGCACCAATAGCCGCTCCAGACCACCTCAGCCAACTTCATCTCTTGTTCGCATCCAAAAGGACAGTTAATACCCTCTGAAAGACTGGCCCACAGGGGTTTCTTCCAATCAACAAAGACTAAATACAGCTTAAATGGTTTTTTAATGGGTGGTTGCTACAATCAAAGTAAGCCGTGATCATTTGACACAAACCTAGGGTGACCATATTTCCCAGTGCTGAAAAGGGACACCTGGTAAAATTACTTATATTCAAGCGAGTTCAACGGCAATCAGTCAGAACTATGCAGTACAAACATTCAAATTAACATCAAGCTGACTGAGCCCCTGTTAAAAAGCTGCTTAAAGATAAGAAGGTAAATAAAAAGAATCCAACTATACTGATAGTTGGATTCTTTTTATTTACCTTCTTATCTTTAAGGCTTTAGTGTTCACACGGGGAGAGGTCTCACACACACACACACCCCTCCCTCTCTCTCTTTCTCTCGCTGGGGGTGTGTGTCTGTGACTGACCCACCGGACCCTCCCTGCCTGGTGCTCTCTGCCCTTCCTGCCTGGCTGAGGCCTCGGGGAGGGCCTGCCTCTCCTGGTACCTGGCACCATGTCCTTCCAAGGCAACAAATGGAGAGGTGTGTGTGTGGGGGGAAACTCAGGGTCACATGCCCCCCTCCCCAGATTTTAGCCAGGATTCATACCAGAATGTGGCCAGCAGCAGCCTTTTGGCATGGTGCGGGAGGGAAGGGATGGGAGCTGCTTCCAGCCGTGGGGGGCGGGGGAAAGGGATGACCTGGCCCATGTCTTTGCAGAACTCATCTCTTCCCACCCCTACCGCTCCCCTGTGGCTAGAAGCAGCTTGTCCCTTCCTGCCTGCACAGTGTTGAAATCCAGGCTTCTGCTGGCCACCAACATAACCCAGCCACCACCTGTCCCCTGACTACAGCGCGGGCAGGAAGGGGTTAAGCCTTCAGGACGCATTGGGCACCAGGGCCCAGGGAACCTGACTGCAGGGGCTTCAGCGAACCCGGCCAGAGAGGTGGCCGAGCAGAGGAGGGTGCCTAGGGGACGGAGCGGGTGAAGAGGGTCCTAAGGCCCTGCCCGGGGGACTGCAGTGGAGCCTGCAGGATCAGGGCACGCACAGGCTGGAAATTGCTTCTCCCTGTCCTGCCACTCCAGAGCTTAGCTGGGAGGAAGAGAGGCTTCCCCTTGCCAGCGCTGTGCGGGGCTTTAGCGTAGGCAGGGCTCGGCTCCTCCT